AGGGGGCTGTCTTGGACTATTAAGTGCATGTTTATGTTTTTGTTTTTTTGTTTTACTGCTTAGTTGGTTTGTTTAGTTTGGTCTTGTCAAACCCAAGACCCACACAGAATCAGAATTCCATAGGAAAGAATGAAACAACAAAGAACATGTGTTCAATGCCCAATTAATGAACATTCATCTTTATACCGAGAGGAGAAAAATCTCAATGAATTTACCTTCTCTGTTCCTCTGGGAGAGCTGACTTCATTCCTGAGCCAGTGTCTTCCTTGAGGGCACAGAAATAATTGGGTGACTATATTAGGCCATCTTCCCCTGGTAACCACCCTTCCTGAGACCCCCTAGACCAAAGAATTAGTAGAATAAGTGACTGATCTATCTTTTCATGTGAAGATTGGAAATAGAAGGGTAGACGACATATGTAGAATGTCCAAAAATTCTTTTTAGCTACCAGTTGCAATGTTGCAACTATAATATTCCTTACATAAAACATTTTTACATTTTTTAAAAAAGGAAGTTAACACATATATATATTTTGGAAACAAGGAGTCCCTGTTTTACTTATTTTTAAAATGGGAATCATGGTAGTGGACTCATGAAGTAAGATAGCAGATGTCTGGCACATGGTAAGGGCTCAGTCAGTGTTTCCATTTCTACCTGTTTCAGACTCATGCGAAGAAGAGAGACACAAAACTGAAGCATTCTAGTTTGGTCCCTTGTTTCTTCTGTTCTTGTCTCCTAGAAGTTATCTGGTTCAACTTAATTGTCACATCTGTTTCTAAAAGGAAGAATTGTGCTGCAATCTGGGAGAATCTGAAGTTACCATTTCTTGCCAGGGTCATTTGCAATCCAGCCTTCTCAAAGACTGAAGTGCAGGGCAAGGTAAGCTTTAGAAAGAACAGTGTGCTGCTTCGGTGAGATCTTGGGCCATTCTTGCCCAGAACCATTGCTATAGAACAACCAACTCTCAAATCTTTTCAACTCAGAGGATAAAAATAATCAGGGCCAACATTGTGGTAGTATGAAAATCATCCAAATTAACTGAGTGTATAAGCTTCTATCAGGAACTATTAAACGTCTTACTTGTCAGGCTTGATTTAAAGCATTATTTCTTGTGCTAATAGTGAAGGAGATCAACTGTCTATACTGAATTTTGTGTGAGAAAAATGCCCCACGCCACAGCTTTATTTAATCATTTCTCAAACCTGCAATTAAGAGCTCCTTGGTAGTTCCTGGACATTGTGCTTAAAGCTGATAACTTCATTAACAAAATATCCTACAACCAGAAACGTGCTATTGGGCCAAGGACACACACACAAGAACACTGAAAAGAATGCCCAAGCCCTTACCTTTTCTTTTATATTTTTATTACTTTAAAAATTATGCATCCCAGAAATACAAATTTGAGCATAAGGCCTGACTGGTTAAAAAACTTTTAACTTTTAGGGGTAAGGAGTGGGGAATACAACACAGAATGTAGTTCCTGATTTGCATAAATTCACTTTTACCTGGGGAGACTTAACATCAACAAGATAAAGAGAAAATTTCTGCCATGATCTTCCTTTCAGGGCACCAATTTTGACAACACTCACAAACAAGAGTATTTAGGGGAGTCCAGGAGCCCAGAGGAGAAGTCCTGGCACACAGTCAGGGCAAAAAATCTAAGAATAGACACACTGAAGTGGGTACCTACATCAATCCCCCCTTACGTGGCTTAGCTCTCAGCCCACAATTCCTCCCATGGGGAAAAGTGAAAGTGTAGTGAGTGAGCACCTGGCTCCCTGTGCTGTGTTATAACCATTGTGAAGTTTCATTAAAAATTTTGAATAGGGCTGAGGATGTTGCTCAGTAGTAGAGAGCACTTGCTTAACAAGCATTAGGCTCTGGTTTCAGTTCCTAGAAGCAGATAGATAAAGAGAGACAGACAGACAGACAGACAGACAGACAGACAGATGAATTCCTCATCTGGGTATATACCAAAGGCAAAAAAATCAGCACCTTGAAGAGATATCTTCGGTCTTATGTTTATTGCAACATTACTCATAATAGAAAAGGTTATATGCATATCATTTATTCATGCAGACACATGCACACACAGAATATTTCCAGCCTTAATAAAAGAAGGAAATTCCACCATTTGTGACAACATGGATGATACCTAGAAGATACTGTGCTAAGTGAAATAAGTCAGACTTAAACACTACATGATCTTACATGTAGTATCTAAAAAAAGTCAAAACTTACCAAAAACCAACGGATAGAATGAAAGTTATCAAAGTGTGGAATGTGAAGGGGTGAGGAAATGTTGGTTAAAGGATGCACATTTTCAGGTTCCACATGAGTAAGTTCTAGAGACCTTAGGTACAGCATGATAACTAGTAAATGATAATGTATTGTATTCCTGAAATTTTCCACGAGTAGATCCTCAATGTTCTTGCCACAAAAAAATAGTAACTATGTGAGGTGATAGATGTGTTAATTAGCTTGATCATGGTAATCGTTCGTGTGTACACATGTATAGTATAAAATAATTGTGCACATTAAATATACACAATTTTTAAATTTTCTGATCAGACCTCATTAAAGCAAGGGGAAACAAGATCTTCCTGACTTCGTCAGTTTAAGAGTAGTTCTGCACATTCTTCTATCTAATCAGTGAAATAGAAGCAATGATAGGACCGTCCCTCACTCATTGTTTAAAGGTATTTTTATTAAATTTAGCTTTTCTCTGAACAAGTAGAATTCATTATTTTAAATAACAACATGAGAAATTGAACTCTCCACCCACACCACCTTACATTGAAGTCTGTGTCCAATTTAACTTGAAATTATTGAGCACAGTGGAGAATGTTTCACATGCTAAATTCATTGACATCATTCCAAGAATTGAGGAAGTTCCCTAACTTAATTTCCACCATTGCTGTTACCAGGCACACATACACCCACTGTAGTCGTGGAGCACAGTTCTGAAGGATGTGAGGAGAAGATAGGTGGGCAGTGCTCCTGCTGCTGCCTAAGCACAATTTTGTGCCTATGCAAAGGCTTATGATGACTGATTCTTCTTTGAGAGCATTTAGATACAAATGTGCACCTTTAGATGGTACCAAAAGCAGAAACCCTGAGTGTGCCTTTTTTAGAAAATGAAACGGAACCATGCAAAGCCAATAGATGTGCTAGTGAATGTTATTAATATTGCTAGTGTTGAAAATGCTTCAGGCAGCAAAATAAACGTGACTAACAATTAGATTTCAGTGTACTAAAAGCAGGTTCTAAAATAGATGTGCTAAAATAAATGATTCTTTGAGATGTATGAAAGGTAGAGTTTTTGATGCAATTCTTGAGACATTACTTATGTATTTATTTCACTTCGTAAGATTTGGTACAACTCTCTGCAAGTTTTCTGGGAAGCATATTGGATAAGTACACTGGTTTCTGGGTTAGACTATAAGTTGGTAATGGTGTCACCTGTGCTGGATCCCAGCACAGCACCCTGGTGAGTAGAGCACCACCGGGAGTTTTTCCCCCTGCTGTATTCTCCCAGACTCTTTCCAGTCTTCTGCTTTAATCCGTTCCTCACCAAATCCAGAGTTTTCTTTTGGAATATTCTTCTGGTTCTGGTTCTTTTCTGCCTATTCTCACTGCTATCTCACATCTCCTTAACCAGCCTTCCTCTTCCTCTTTTTCTTTTTCTTCTTTCTAATTTCCCCTCCTCCTCTTCTTCTTCCTTCTTTCTCCCTCTCTTTTTCCCCCTTTACCTCATACTCTATTTTCTCTGTCTGCGTCTACTCTTCTGAGCAACATACCATTTTCTTTACAGTATCCCTTTTTCTTTCCATCATTTTCTTTTTCAACATTTCATCATTATTTCCATATGACAGACAGGTGATTGGAATTGAGGGAGGAGGCAATACGTGGGCTGAGTCTTGACCACAGAGTAAAAGTAGCCAAGCAAGAAGCGAAGAAAGTGTTCTAGGCAGAGGGAACAGCATATGTGAAGATGTGGTATATGAGAAAGCATGCTATGTCCTAGGACAGTAAATAATCTTATGTGTTCAAAGCATGGGGTATATGTGGGGCTCAGGATGGAATCAAAGGTGCTTGAGAGACAGAAGCAGATGATGAAATAGCTTGGACTCTCCTGCTGAAAGTCCTAGGGAGCCTGCTGGAAAGTTAAAGGCAGGAGAGTGACACCGTTCAGGTTTATATTCAAATCCTACTTCTTGAGTTCAAATCCGAGCTCCATCACTTACTGTATTTAGGACCCATTCAAAATACTTAGTCATTTTGTAGTGTTATTTTCTCATTTGTTACATGGAGAGAATAGATTGAAATATCTGCATTAGAATGTTGCTGTGATGTGACTACATTCACCGATACATAGAATACACTCAGTTTCTAGTATATTTGCTATTCTCCAAATTGTGTGTAATTATTCTTTCAGTAAGGTCACTTAGGCAACAACAGGAAGTATATGAAGTAAACACCTACAAGGGCAGCTCCTTTAGGTGGCAATTACAGCCATCCATGAGAGAGAGTCGCCTTTTCCTGCTCAATACACCCAGAAGTGAAGCTTCCTTTATGTTCCCACCCAGCAAGTCCACTCCTGTCTGTTTTCTTTGCCCCTGCACTTCCCTCTGCCAAGATTGTTCTTCCTTCAAACTCTGGAGGGCTGGATCCTCCGTCTTCAGCTCAAATGTAGCATTTTAGCAAGATACCCCCTAATCATACTGGTTAGGGTATCCCTCCTTTCTGGTCATTCTCTAAGGTACCAGGCTAGTTTGTTTCCTTCATAGAAGTCATCACTGTCGAACATATGCTGCGTATTTATGTGTTCATTTCCTTTTTTCTTTACTAGATTACAAGCTACCACTGCATCTAGTGTTTCAAGAACAGACCTACTCATGGAAGTGATTAGTGAAAATATCTGGAATGAATGAATGAATGCTTGAACTGAGGAGCTAGAAAAGAAAGAACTCACATATGTTGAGCGTCCACCGAGTAGTTGCTGTACTGTGTACTATCCATGTAAATAGCTCATTTTCTCACAGTGCAATCTTCTGGGTTGGTGTTCCTATAATATCATAGAGGAAGAAACTGAAACTCAGATTTCTAAGAGTTGGTCTTTCTGAAACACACTATCCTCTTTTGACTGCAATATTTAGATATGAGAAGGAAAGATTAGACAGGAGGTATGTGTAGGAGATGGAATCGAAATGCTATGGGATATGAGAATAGGAGCCAAGAGAAAAGCCTTGGTTTGCTGAAATTTAATCAAGAAAGCAGGGGAAGAATCCACTGAAGGAAACCAGAGGGAATAATAAAAGAGACAGGATGTAAACCAGGTGTGGGAGTATCCTGAAAGCCAAGGCAGAAGAGAGGTATAAAGAGGGAAGGAGCAGTCAACAGTATGAAATGTAGCAGAAAGATCAGTGAGGAGGGAAATGGGAGTTCCCATTAGATGTGCAGTTGAGAGATAACAACTTTGCGGTGCATAGTTCCAGTGTCAATCAGAGCAGGAGACAGCGGAGAATGTGGACTCATACAGAAAGGAACTAAAAAGAATCAAATCAGATAAGTAGAGAAGCATTTGAATGGAGAGTGTGTTGATTTTCCAGGGCTGCTGAAACAAATTGCCATCGATTGCATGCTTATCACAACAGGGAATTATTTTCTCACAGTTCTTAAAGGCAGAAATACAAACTTAAGATATCTTTACAGTTGGCTCCTCCTGGAGACTCTGTCCTTGCTTTTAGTAGCTGCTGGCAATCCATGGTGTCCCTTGACTTGTAGCCATATAACTCATCTCTGCCTCCATTTTCCCATGGACTTTTCTGTGTCTTTATGTGTCTTGTAATTTTCTGTTTTATACCGATATCCATCATCAGATTTACTTGCAAAGACCACTTCTAAGTCAGGTCACATTCATAGTTACTAGGGATTAGGATTTGAACTTATCTCTCTGGGTCCTTTGGTCAACCCAATTTAGAGGTGAGTTAATTTTAAGATGAGAGAACACTAGTTTTATGTAAGAAAAGCTATAATTGACAGATCAAGACCTGTAGGGAGTCTTGATCTCATGATGCAAGTAGAGCAATACACTCTTAACAGGGAGAGATTTCTCTAATTCTCTGTGACGGGATGTGTGAAGGTAAATAGATTTGGAGGTAAGAAGTTAGGTGTTGACAGACATTTTCTGTGATAACCCCTATTTACTCTGTGAAATAGAAGGCAAGATTATCTGCTGAGAGTGAAGAGGGAACTTGAGAAAAGTGGTGTAAAGATTAGAAATAGCACCTGCGTGAATGGAAGAAATGAGACCACAAACTCATAACAGGATTGTCAGGATTCACTGAGCTTCCAGCTGACATGGGGCACGATACGACTGGGGTGGCACAATCTTCAGGCCGTATGGTATCCTGTAGTGATGATAGGGAAATAAATCAGTTGATGAAAAGCCTCAATAATTGATGGATTCAGTAAGATTGTGAAAATAAAGCCAACATATAAGAATGCTTAAAAACCAGAGAATCTGAGAAGTTCCAATAGACTATGATGAGTGGAAAGACCAAGGAAGCAGGTCCAAAGACAGGGATTAATGATCCAAGGTAATTAAGGGAGAAGGCAAGGTACAAAAATTAAATGGTGGCCATATTGATGAATGCAAAGTAGAAGAACTCAAATTCTCACTAAATGGGAGTGGTTCGTATAAATGTCACCACAGCAATGGAGGAAGTAGGATGAGTACATTTATGCTGGACAACAGGCAAGAATGGTTGCTCAGCTATGAAATATAGAAAGTTCCCTTTCTTTCAGTGGGAGACTGGAGTTTGTCCCTCTCCTATCCTCTAAACCTTGCTCTCCCGTCTATGCCAGTGACCCCAGCAAAGCCCTCTCTTTGCTCAGCCAATACACTCTTCTGGGTAACCCAACACTGAAACAAACATCTCTTTTTCCATAACCTGGGTTGACTGTTTTAGACTTGTAAATCCCTTAAATATTTCCCAATTCATAGAATTATATGTTAGCTTGAAAAAGAATGTTTTCTAAAAGGCTGTACAGCCTGGCTGCTTTAGATTGTTCTTACCTGTTGTTCTTATGGGTCAAACCATCTATTCAGAGAACTGAGTGTAAACATAGAACTTTCTACTCTTCCCTTTTTTCACTCTTAGTTTTCTGAATGGCAATGATCCATCCTTTCACCAAAGCAGACATATTTCTATTTGTAAAGTCCATCGAACTAATTTCTTTGGAAATATGGTTCCAAATAGATCTTTGGAAATAAATAATTGTAGAATACTTCATATGCAGCTCTTGAGTGAAGGAAATAAAAATCTCATGAATGATAAGAATGAATTACGTGCTTACTGTTGTTATATTTATTAATATCATTATGCTACAAAGGTAATTACAGATAGTATGAGTTCTTTTTACACCATTTTTGGTTTTCCTTTAAATCTAATTTCTAAAATAAACTTAACCTGTAGCAGTGGGATGGACATAGAACTTTCTATGCCTCTTAGACTTGGGAATTCAGAATACATTCTTATCAAAAATCCATCTGGCAAACTCTCAGTTCTTTTCTTCTTACTGTCTCTACTAGTAATTTCTGAGAAATGACCTCAGAAAAAAATAATGAGAAATGAATTTTATTGTGTGCTTTTTAAATTGTGTTCCAGTGTCACGTGGGACAATATCTACTAACACAAGCTGAAGTTATTCATAGAAACCTATAATATAATCAAAGAAATCAAGAGCATGTGTCAGGTGACTACTCCCCATACCTAGTGAGTAATTAATTATGCTGTTAGAATTTACACATGTCGAGTTGCTCCTATGTAGAAAGCATTTGCAAATATTGAGCAACAAAGTCCTTTTTGTACAGAACCTTGGAGTCTGGGGGCCAGGGATTTAGCTCAGTGGTGCCATGCCTGCCTGGCAAGTGCAAGTTCCTGAGTTTGATCCTCAGGACTACCCCAAAAAAACAAAAGCTTGGAGTCTAATAGAGAACATGTATAATAACTATGTAAATCATTACAATAAATAGCAAAAGGTGTTATGCTGCTAGAGGGCTACAAAAAAAGCACTCCTAGAAGTTGCGTCCAGAGAAAGAGGAAGGAAGGAATGTGGCACTGAGCCAGCATCTGTGTGTCCTTCTCCTCTGCCCGGTAGAGGTAGACACATCCACCCAAAGCAGCAAATGAACATTTAATGTAACTTGTTTATGCATTACAGAATTCATCAGTGTGTACCTTTGATTCATCACCTGGTTACAACCATACTTTCCCCATTGGGCTGTGTGTGTGGATTATGCAGGGGATAAAAGCATGTGCTCTGTAGTCAGACAGTGGTAAGTGGTTGAGTAAGTTACTAAACTCCTCTAAGCCTCAGTCTTATCTCTAACGTGTTGACAACATTTGACCACTCAACACGGGGTTACCTTGGTAACCCTGAAGATTGAATGAAAATGCACCAGTGGTGAATATCTGATAAGTACTCAGTACATATTACTATTCCATTTTCTGTTAATGTGATGCTTTTGTCAGCACAAGATTCTCAGCCCCTTTAAAGCAAGGAATATTGATTTTTCTTCCTTTATAGCTTATTCAAAACATAGCTCTGGATTCAAATAAATACTCAAAAGATGTTTTGCTATGAATTTTAAACTTTTGAAAATATCCCTTCCCAGACTGATACAACCTGAGGATGAGCCAAGTTCAGTCTTTTTCCATCACATATTCTATTTTTTACTCACAGTTTCCATGCCCTTTCCTGGTTTTCCTAGATATGTGAGTTGATGTGGCCTTTGGTGACATGGGACACCTTGCCTGATGAGTCTGGTATCACAGCCATGTCTGGTGGGACTAATTCATCACTCAAAGCCAGGAAGACACACGCATTCCACTTGTTTAGCCGCCCAGTAACTGGTAGCTGATTTTTTTTTTCCCCTTCTCAAAATCTGTCATCATGCATGCAACCAGGCAAAGTATTTTAAGTTTATCTTGAAAGGACATAAAATCCCTGAAGAATGCTGCTTAAATGTGAAATATTTTTTCTTTAGCATAGTGCCTCAGAAAGAAGAGGCCTTTTATCAGCTTTTCTCCTGCAAAATGTTCAGCGATTTATCAATTTCTTAATCCCCGATATCTGTTTATCACCACACCACTGCACCATGAAAATAAGAGAAATTTATGTAAGCTAATAGTATGTTTGTTTTAAATGTACTTCATTTTTACTTTTGCTGTGCTTTCAGTTGCAACAAAGGAAGATGTAGTTGGTGATCCCAATCCGATCGTTACCATTCCCAACAGCAACCTGGGTTTCTCACCCCAAATTATGTAACACTGAACTGCCAAAGAACTATGCAGGAGACTCTGGGTATGCACAGATTTAACACTCTAGGTTTTGAATATTTGCAATCGACCATGAAGGTTTGTGATGTGTTAATTGGCAGTTTCGCTGAGGTTCAAATTCGAATCGTATGTGCTTTGAAGCTAGCCTAAGAGGGGGCTTGAGGAGCTCGTGAGTTAGCCTAGTCAGCCGTACAGCTTCTCTCTCCAGGCAGATTTTTGTTTTGTTCTGTTCTGTTTTCTTCTCCTGACATCAGCAGTAACTCGCAGGGTGATTAAAAACTTTGTTTCTGTGAAGGAGAAAGATGGTCATCATATAAAAAAATAAAATGAGTAAATCTTTCCAGAATATTTGCTTGACTTGAGAAGATGATATACCGTGAAAACACACGTCTCAAAAAAGCTTTTGAAAAAGCCAGAAATCTGTGCAGATATCTCCATAGTCATAGATTTGGAGATTTTCTTCATGCTTCAGGATTTATCCCTTAAAAATTGTCAGGACTTTCCAAGCATGTACAATGGAGAGTCTGGATAAGATTTTAAAATACTAAAAAATGATCCTGGGTTTGCTTCCGATACAGTTGAAATACAATTTCTGAGCATCAGACTGCAAGAGATCTGTCTCAACTTCTCATCGAGGCTTTTGGTTGCACGATTTACCCTGAAGGAGCCCGTAGGGCACATGGGCAGTACACTGTGGTAACCATGAAGTGGCACGTTCTAAGAATACAAAGTCTTAGGGCTTGGCAATCTTTCTCATCCATTAGCCCTGAGTAAACAGTGCCCTGGGTGCTGCCTGTGAGCTCAGATCTCTGCTTATCGTTGGTCAGCATTTATCCGAGAGAGGAGAAGCCAGTTGTCTTTCTAATACATGGCAAAATGAGAAGACAGAAGCTTTTATAAAGCTTAGATATATTCAATTTAAAGAGCTATTCTTTTTTAGTGGTTTATGTTAAAATGTCTTTTAATATAATAATATAAAGTTATAGAACCAGTAGATGGTAGTTTTATTTTTTATGTTTCTTATTTGGCAAGATTTAAAGTTGGCAACTTTATATAATCCCCAAAATTTTTGGAAAATTTGCTTTATCTGAGAATTCCAACAGATTATATTTAGTCCTAAGACTATGCAGAAAGACTATATTTTAGCAAGTGAAAAACTGTTTTAAAGAGCTGACTTTTGTCTTCATGATCAGGAATAGATACAGTGTGGCTTCTGGGCTTTTTACACAAAAGCATTTGAGTCCCTGGGTTACTCCTAAACTCATCTCTTCTGTGGCACTATATTTCACTGCCACTGGAGCTATTGGACCAGCTGTGTTTACATACCTTAAGCCATTCAAAGTAACTGATCTTTGTTCTGAAAACAATGGAGCGAGATGTACTTTGCATTCATAAGCACCGTCAAAAAACTCCATTCTTGGCTATAGTCCAAAAATGACAATTACAAAAATAAGACTGAATCAGTGATTTATTTTGTATCTTTTCTTTTTTGTTGTAATATTTATGTTTTTGTAAGGTGCATATAGTATCTGATGGATGCTGAGGCTTAAAAATTAAGGGCAATAATTTTTAGTCAATAATTATTTAAAAGCATATTAAAGACTTAAATATAACAGCCAGGCAAAAGACCAGATGGGCTGTCAGATAACAAAACTTGAACTAACAGGAGAGTACTCTTGAAAACCTACGTCTTCACCTGGTGTTTATCAGTACAGTGTTGACATATCAGTTACTGTGCTATGGACTTAGAATGCAGCATCTCAGGGCTGGCCCTCAGAAATAGTCTTTAAATTTAGACTTCTTTCATAAGGACGAAGTGGACCAGAATCACATTTAAGCACAAGGTGCATATCATAGTAAAAGTTAAGCAACATCTAAATAAAACAACCATGCAGAAAATCAAGAAGGCTATATGAGAAATAGAATGTGGTCAACAAATTTTTAAGGCTGATTATGTACATAACATAATTATATATGGCAAAATGAAATACAGGCAGCCTCCAAAGCTACCTATGCTCCCAGTAAAGATAACCTAAGCAGAAAGACATAAGTCAAATCTGATTGCAAAGAGTGGAAACTGTTTCCTCCTAGAAACAGTTATAATAGGGGATTATATGCCTCAACAAGAGTCTGATGCCTAACTTTTGGTAGAAATCACCAGAAATCATAAATAATCAACAACAAAGCCTATGTATATATACTCTAACAGTTTCTGAAATATATTTAAACCAAGCAGGGAAATGCATCAGGTCTTAGAGATGAGCTCTGTCTAGACTATAGCCTGCTGACTGGGGTGGGAATGGATTCTAGACAGCTCTCTAAAGATATGCGGCTGCTGTCTTCAAAGAAGGCAAACTTTCTGACCTGATAAGAATTGTAGATTTTCTTTCTTCAAGCCTCAGTGAGGAAGAAAATAATGGTCACTCCCAAGGAGGTGTAACAGTAAAAAGTCTTAATGAAAGAAATATAAAGATTATAATGACACTACAATTTAAGTATTTCAGTGCCACATGATATTTTTCACATTCTGAGATACATCTCCCATTTTCTTGTCATGAATTCTATTTTTGTAGGACAAAGTATGGATCTGCATATTTTTTAAAGAATTTTAAGCAACTAAGGAATGTTTGAAATCCTAACATACCCTTGGGAGAAGAAAAATGTAAATATGGGTCCTGCAAACATAAAGTGCCATCCTTGTTAAGCATTTTCAGAAAATACCAATCTGAAGAGAGAACTTCCTACTTGGAATATTTAAGAACTTAGCTCTATTTTGCAGTCACTAGAATTTTTATTTTAAAATCCTATTCCAAAATTAATAGATGAAAATTTCTAAATTCTGAATGGCTTTCAAAATGGATACAATTTTTAAATAGTAATTTTTAAGGGCTACTAAATACAGATTCAATCATTGACTCTTCCATTTCTAACAATATTGAATAGAAAGGGAGAACATGCCTGCCCTGACAATTCCCAGAGGGATGAAAAAGTTTGTCATCATTGGAGATAGAATAGAAATATTCCAAAGAACCAAGAAAGAAAACTAAGACAAAGAAACTTTAATTACATTATCTGGGGAAGAGCCCCATTATGACAATTAGAGTCTGTTACCCCCTAGATATTTTAATTCCACTATACCATTTATGTTCGTCTTATTTTTAGAAGTAGCAATACCAACTCGCATTGGACCAGGCCAAGTCACAGTGCTTTATGAAGGAAACACAGAATAGAGACAATCTAGCATATGTATTTTTATCCTCTTAGAGGAATTATTAATTATAGTAGCTGTCCCTTTCAGGGTACTTAGCCAGTCATTGTGTTAGTTGGTCCATGCACTATTTTATTTTATCTTCTAAACAACCCTGTACTATGGCTTCCTTATCATCTCACTTTACAGACGTGGATGAACATTAAGATTTAAAGCAGGTAAGTGCTTTCCCACAGTCCTGGAGAGCTTTGCACCTAGTCACCTGAAAGCAGTCATGGTATATTGCCCAGCCTGAAAGAGGACAGATTTAGTCGGGCTGCTCCAGCCACTATGAGAAAACTCAAGGAAGTCGGACGTAATAGTGGATTCAGAACGGGAGAGACATGCAGTGCCACTGTGAGAAATGAAGGTCATCACATTCATTGTAATGATTAAAATATCATAATTAAAGATTTTAAATTGGAAGTCATTGTCAGCTTACAGAGTCAGGTTTTCTCTATTGTCTTAAAGCCATCAGCATTAATAGAAATAGAAAGAGGCACAGCTGCCTCTCACCTTGTTGGTTTTGATGCTGATGCAGGTATTTGGTGCATCTCTCTTGATTGCTGTTTCCCAAACTGCAGCTGGGTCCCTTCCACCACCTTCTCTTAGTGAACGAGCGGCCTGGGCCTGGTCCCCTCCCTCTCTGCTGTTTATAACACGAAGCCCGAGTATACTGAAGCCATTAAGCTAAGGCTATTGCCAGTGGGTGATTCCAGGGCCACAGAAATGTGAAGAGCCAATTGGAATACTGCAGATCCTTAGAGCTGAGAGCTGCCGACAACTACGTTTTTCCACACTGTAGAATTCAATGAAACAGTGCCACGGGAGTCAGCCCAGATGTGAGTCAGGATTACAGCAGCCTGAATACAGCAATATTTGCAGCTCCAGATGTCCAGTACAAAAGAGTTAAAACTTCAGATCCAAAGCCTGTTTTGCCACCTCCTCACAGAGTGTGCTGGGTGAGACGATCTTTTGTGATTAGCTCATTATTTATCACCTCCCAGCAGATACCATCGGGCTTTGTTTGCTGAGCTAGAAATCCGTTTGGGTGTCATGTGTCAGCTAAATAGGCTTAGTTACAATAGAGCCTGATTAGTTTTCACCTTGGCCTCATAAAATGTGGCATATGTATTAGCATAATGGATTAGAGGAAAAGAGCATTCACCTCAAGAAGTGAGTAAGTACAGTCCTGGGATTTGCACATTTGATCTTTGGTGTGATTGACTCACCCCAGCTTTTCAAGATTTGAAGACTCCTTCCTCCCTAAAATAACTCATTTCAGAGTCTTCCTTTCTACTTTCATGCTGGCTTTCCCAAGTACCATGCAGAATTTATGGACTTGATCTTCTTACCCTCTTAGGGAAGCGAAATGTGTGCTACGGCGTGATGTCATACACCATGCCCACACTGAGGAGCTGGTCATGAATGCAGACTTTTGTGATAGGCATGCAGCTGTTCTGTGAGGTCAGAACAAAATCAAAATAAAAGTCAGGACACCCGCATCAATTTACCCAGGGCCCACAGATGTAAAACTTTTCTCTGGCTAGAATACAGTGTGAGAGCCCTTCCACTTTCATTCCATTTAATTTTTTTAATGCTTCCTACATGAAATGCATTTATTAAATGCCGAAAAACACGAGTTTTTCTAAAAAGTCCCTGACCTAAAAGTATTAAATCCACCCAAAGATTAACAAGCACAAGAATCACCAAATATAAAATAAGGTAAAATGAGAAAGAAAGCTTGAAGAACATCTGATTGTTTTCAGCATACCTGATATAATGTCATAATTGCTTATACTTTGAGAATATAAATGGTAGCTATATAACTATAAATAAAAATGTTATCTTATAGTGTTAGTTTGGAGATAATGGCTCTAAGAGGTCCTGAATCAGATACTGCTAGATACCACATATTTTACTGAATGCACTGTGTGCCTTTTCTTATGTAATCTTCAAACTAGCCCCACTATGTCCCCTTCTTCAAGAAAAGGGAATTCATTCTCCAGATTGCATAACCTGTCCAGTGTTAAGTGGCAGAATCTGGAGTCACTTTCTGGTTGGCGTAGCACTGAAATGGGAATTGGTACATAGAGACACTAGAACAAGGCAATGGAAAAACCTAAATAAAAGCCCAAGGCCAAAGAGGCTGGGATACATTTAGGGAATGGCCAACACCCCACTCTGGATAGGCACTTATAGAGAGAAGTGATAGGAGATACGCAGGAAAGGAGATTCAGGCCAAGTGAGGAAAGCTGTGAAACCCAGGGCAAGAGTGACACTTCCTTTGGAGGGCAGTGGGTATCCGTCAAAGATGTTTTAGCCAGAGAGGAATAGGACCAAAATGAAATGTGGTAGCATCAGTTTGACGGGCTTATATAGTTTACACAAGTGTTTTTCTCTTTCCCAGTTTTCTTTGATCACAACCTGAAGTAAGAAATACATTTTTCATTGCAACCTGGTACAAGTATATTTAAAACACATAAAGTGAAAATTATACAAGGTAATACCTTTCCTAAAATACTGACATTTTCTATTGTTTTATTTTATTCTATTTGTTTCACTTTTTAATTGGTCTTCAAACCCACCAACCAGTTGCAGACACAGTAAGAAAAACACTAGATTAGCTCACAGTTGGGAGAGGTGGAACAAGGTGGGGCAACCAATTATAAACTATTGCTGAAGTCTAGGCAAGAACTAGAGAAATAAGAGAGGAGGATAAAAAGGGTATTTCAAAATACAATGACTTGGCAATTCCAGAGGCTCCAGGGGTGATAACTGCTAACAGAAGTTGGAAAGATGGACTGAGAAACTGGCTCTATGTAGGAAAAGAGTTTGAGTTTGGACATACTGGCTTTCACATTCCAAGAAGGCAGTTTTAAGTTCCAAAATGTATCTACAAGGCAGTTGAAGAGAGTGTCTACAACCCAGGACAGACTTGGACCCTAGAGGCCTCTGCCAGTGTGCATTGCCTTCTGTAAGGAAGGGTGGTGAAAGATGGAAGCACTAAATAATGTACAAGTGAGAGAAAAAAACATTCCAAGGACACATTTGAACACATACTTTGCGTGGAACAAAGGAAAAGGATACACACAAGAAGCCAGAAAAGCAAAACCCCAGGACAACCAAGATGGTGCCATGTGTAAACTTCTTCTTCCTCTTCTTCTTCCTCTTCTTCCTCCTCATCCTCCCCCTCCCCCTCCTCCTCCC